AAGAAATATCAAAGTTTTTCCCCTGAAAATTTGAATCAAAGAAATCAGCGATGACAACAAGAAAGAATTTGTTTGCTTCCATTTGTATAACAACATGCAGAGAAGTATCGTATTTCTCGATTTTGAAAACATATATAACATGGAATACTGTTTCAAGCTGTAGCGATCCTGATACCTCTAAACGCACCGACGAAAGAAATCGTAGCCCACCGAAGAAAACTATTTTGGTTCCCACGGCAAAACTATTTATGAACCCAGCAACAGGAGAATATAATTCTGGCCGGGATGCAAAACAGCTCGGAGGGTAGCTAACTGAAATATTTTGAATCTAGGAACCAAAACAACTCGAAACCTAGCGATTAGCGACAGAAATCAACTTGAATACTATACCACAACAAAGCAATTCCCAACCATGCGACAGAAGTCTATTTGAACCTCAACATCGCGGATAAAACAATTCGGAGTGTAGCGATCAGCCTAGAAAATAACTCAACAAAAAAACAGCTCAGAGCGAAGTGATCAGCGACAGAAATAATGTTGAATAGCGGTACAGTGACAAATTGAAGATAGCTCGCTGTGAAGCGACCTGCGACAGAAATAACTTGAACTCCAGCAACAAAACGGCTCGAGGTAGGACGACCAGTGACAGAAATAATTTTGAATACAACAAAAAATACCTTGGAGTAGCGCTCAGCGAGAGAAATAATTTTGAATGCCGGCCTGAGCGATTAAACAACTAGAAGCATGGCGATCATGGGAATGTAGCAACAGAACTAGTTGTGAATACTGATACAGCGACAAAACAACTCCTGTAGCTCGAAGCGAAGCGATAGCCGAAAGAAACGCGGGCAGAAATAATTTTGAATTCACAGAGAAACAGAACAACTCACAGCGCGGTAGTGATCAGCGACAGAAACAATTTTTCTGTTCAACGACAAAATAACTCGCATGCAAGCGACAAAAAATGATTTTGAACCAGCAACTAAAGTACACTGAACTGAGCGAAAGGGACAACTTCTTCTGACTGCTTTTCCAACAGAGAAAACCAGAAAAAACGGAGGTGTCATCTTCGTTTGATCATGTTCATATATGCCACGTTTTCTTCACCTTCGGTTAATTTGCACTAATGAAAGCTTTCTCTCTTCAGTGTGAGGAGAAAATCTCATTGTCATTGCCAACATCAATGTCGAAGTCCATCGGCTTGTAAACTCCTTTTGAAAAAGCCACAGTGCATAGTCCATAGCAGCAGCCACGAACTTTATTACATGTTCCGCCGGAACGTTTTGTTGACCACTCAGAACTGCATTTCCGCCCGTCTGCATGTGCCATTTTATTCCCAAGGAGATGTAAAAATATATCTCCCACCTCGATTTATCCAGCCAGAAATACCATCTGTCTCTAATGTGTCCGTAAAAGGCGCTTCTATCGACAAAGTGAATTTCCCCGTGGACCGCCGTTTCTTAATATCCTGATCGCCTAAAGAATAATGGTATCATGTGGACGTAAAAGGAAATGCACTCCCGCTGTTTTCGGCGACCCTAAAATAACTTTAGCGAAATTGACATATCCCAAGGCCTGGACTGGGAGCCTCCCTCTCTGACCCTCATTTTCTCTTGTAAATAATAATAACGAATATTTATACAGGATAGCCGTTCAGTGTAAGAGTACTGTTATCAAAGGGGTCCTGTCTAAATAACATAATATAAAGATAAAAACTAAAATAAGTTAAGAATGACTTCGTAAAGAGTACGGGCAATTTTCGAGTCTTTATCATGGCTACAATAAGGATACTGACTGGTTTAATGATTCACCATAATGCATAACCTGTTTCAGGCGCTCTGTTAGTTAGGGAGCAGCGTTGAGAAAAAAACAGAATAGGAAATGGATCGGGGACGCACCGCCCTCGTCCAGCATTTTGTTGTACAAAATTTTCAACTAACCGAACGCACTTTGATAGGCTAAATAAATCACAATTATAAATATTGTAAATAATCATGTTACAGTAAAACGTGACTTCTACACTGAGCGACAAGAAATCGACATCATGGGCCAATCGTACTGAAGGCGCCGTTTCAATACGGGCAGTACATTTTGCTATGGAGAGCAATTGTAAATACTAAGTTTCTGGTAATTTCTAGTCTAGGTAATGTTTAGTCACGCAATATTTGCACCAGAACCTTCTACCGTCACATTACGAAACAGTTTAGAACATTCTACTAAATGATATAATTACGATGTAATGCTACATGAACAGTTGTGTTAGAGGTTCCAAGAACGTTCACGAAGGAGCGACGAGCTATTAAGGAACTTCATTTAAAGTCTTGTGGATTGAGAGGAGACTTCTTCGGAGACATCGGCGTTTACTGTGGGTTTGAGTCAGTGGTGACTGAAGTTTTAGTGGTAGGTTATTTTGATGATAGATTACACAGCTATGAAGAAACCCTCTGCTAAGAGGTCGCTCCTCTGCAACTAGGATTTCACTACGTATCGTGAAATAAATAAGTTGGGTCTGTTGAAGAGTTTCGCAGTGTATATTTTCTGTCGGTCGAGTGATACCGTAACAATTTTAAAACAATAAGCACTTTATTGTTTTATCGGCATCTCTCCAGCAATGTTTTAAAATTACTGACCCCAATGGAAACAGTGAGTTTTGTTTTTTTGAGACCCTCAGTGT